ATATGCGATTTTTTGATCCAGCAGATGTCGCCCTTGAGCACCAGCATGAAACCAAAACAACTGGCGCTGCATTGTTGTGTTAGCATGCTAATGCTAGCGATCTTTATTATGCTGGTATCTTCACACTGCATGTAAATTTACCTGAAATGAGCGTGATCTAGAAACACAGTTAAGCAGTGAGTACAGTATGTTATTCTTCTTTTCTCTAGTCCCTCAATTAAACAACTTTTATACTCGAGGGGAGGAGTCAGCCGGCCGTCCCGGCGATGTAAACAAACTGAAGATAGGACTCTGAAAACTCTGAAAACATCACAGACAGTGGGACTCGGGTGTTACACCCATTGTAGACAGTCATGACTCACAGAGTTATTTTCAGAGGATAGACTTGATTTCTATTATATTTAAGAGTGAACAATGACATATAAAGACTTTAACCATTTGCGCATCTGACATAGAGACTAATTGAACCTTTATGCCACACTGGTAAAAATGATGGCATCAAAACCAATTAAAGGAGTGAAACATAAATAACCAAGACAGGTAAAATACACAGAAAGGCTCAAACAGGTACATTGGTCCAGCATTCAAGGGGTTCTAAACTTAATTTCAAACTTTAGTACTCAAAATCAAGAAGTGGAGGAAGAAGAGGTTTCTTGGACTTTATGACCCTCATGTGACGACGGTCGGATCAAAGCGTTGAAACTGGTTCTCTGCCACAGCAACGAGGCTCCGAGAGCAAACAGAGCACGACAACATGAAAGTTAAAGGAAAGGAACATGCGCTTGTTGCAGGTGCAGTGTGTTACAAAGAGAGGTGTGTGTGTTTAAATGACACAGCTAGCCTGTCTGTGTGTGTGTGTGTGTGTGTGTGTGTGTGTGTGTGTGTGTGTGACCTGCTTCCACCAGCACTTACAGCTTTTGTCATTTTAAAAATTACCATTCTCTTTCTCTCTCTCTGACTCTCTCTCACTTTCTCTTGTGTTTTCTGCTGTCTCATTAAGTGTGTGTGTGTGTGTGTGTGTGTGTGAGGGGAGGAGGGGGGGAGGGGGGAGGGGGGGCTTATTATGAAGACAGGGAAGAGGCTTATTATGTGAGTCCTGCATGCACAGTAACAGCCTGTAACACTCTCTCTGTCAGTCTCTCTCAGTGGCTTTCCTGCCTCTTAAACATTTTCATTTGCTTTTATTATAAACGTGTTTTTCTTCTTTTTATGCCTCCTAAAACGTCTCTCTTTAAAGGTCGTAAGGAGGTTTGTTGTCATGTCAGAGCTTGAATGAAGAGGACCACATTTAGGCACTCAGACTCTTATTTCTTCCCTTCTTCCTCTTAAGTTTTAATGCATTGATTGTAACATGTATCCCATTATCTGGACCAACGCTTTCAAAATAAAAGCTCTGCAGATATTCTGAATGGTCTTCAGGAGTTTGACATTTCAGGGACTTCATATCGAAATGTGGAGTGTAAACTAATACAAATTCAAAAGCAGATCACAGTGTGGATACTAACCAATCAGACGTGATAGATAGATATAACACGACCCCTCACCCCTCCCCCTCCCCAGTATGTGTATGTGTAACCCATACAAAAATTAAGCCAAAAAAACGATTGATGTTTAACCTGAAGGTGGAAGAAACACCAACGCAACGGGAAATGACTGAACTATTACGTCTCAAATTTCAGTATAAAAACCACATATGCAAACAACCGCCCGTTCGAGCCGTTGAAGGTCATCATAACAAATTCCAATGAACTCATCGATGACTTCTTGACACTTTTCTATTGAAATCCAACATTTTCATCCGCTGCTGCAACCTTTTCTTCTTTGTCAAGTTCAAACCTCCCCCCCCAAAAAAAGTGAAACATTAAGATTTGATTAGTACATAAATTAAAATTAAAGGTATAGTATGTAGAATTGTATGACAATGTTAAGATTCAAATATCTAAATTAATAAAAAATTGACTAAACCTATGTTGTATATTTTTTGTTGTTGGGTACTTACATCACCTCAAATATTTCCAACAATTATCAAAACCAGAAAAATCCTTAATTTTATAGTTGAAACGGGACGTGTCTGTACACAAAATGTTTATCGTTGCCATGGAAACACCCGATGTTGCGTCAAAGCGTTTAATTTTTTAATTGCGTTTAATTTTTTAATTGCGTTTAATTTTTTTATTGCGTTTAATTTTGTATTTATTAATTTATTTTTATTTATCTTATCTATTCTGTTTAATGTGTATTTGAGCTTTCTTGTCTGTGCTGCTGTAACGCCCGAATTTCCCCTCTGGGGATCAATAAAGTGTTATCCTATCCTAAAGGTCGCTGCATAAGGAGGCGTGAGCTGCTGCTGAAAGCTGCCGTCCTGTTGCTGTTTGTGCTGCTGTGATAGAAAACTTTATTTAAATTATACTCTGATACATCAGCTCATGTGTAAACATATTCTCTTCCTCAGGTCGGTTTCGCCCGTTCGTCTTTACTACGGTCAACATGAAGTTTGTTTTCATCTGGTGGGCGGAGAGGCAGTCACAGAGAGGATCACTCCCATGATTCTCCACCAGCCTTAATGTCGTCTTTTGTTGTTGTTTTGATTGAGAGCCCCCTGGTGGTGGAATTTACATACTGTGCCTTTAAACCTGTGAAAAAAATCAGACCCAACCAATGTGTAGCAGCTGCACAACAGCGTTGATCTGGCACAGCGGCGTCTGTATTGACCTTGAGAATGTGCATATAAAACATGACTCTACAAACTTAAAGGTGAAAATGTGCTCTAGTGTGATGTTGGAGTTACTTCTACCTGCACCCTGGAGGTTCCTTTCAGTATAAAATGGCTACCAAACACTGTAACATGATACCAAGTATGACTGTGCACTTGTTTCAGCCAAAATCAGTTACAAACGAAATACGAACAAACAACAGAAACAAAAATCCCAAACACAATTTCCGCTCTAATACGAGGACTAGATGCAGCCCGTTTTTTTCCCCCCAGTATTTTATTTTGAAAATCCTGCTAACCAGAATATTGATCAAGCAGAGCATTATGTTATTGTTTTAGATGTTTCAGGAGGGGAACTTTAAGAATAGTAGCCTCTTTTGAGGTGAAAGCTGATTTATCTGAGAGAAATGAAACTAAAAGAGTGACGAGTGATGACTCAAGTAGCCGCCGCTGTGGTGATCCACGGCTTCCTTCTTGCAGCTGTGTAGGCAACGTGTGAGTTTAAATACGACATATCTACGACATTAGTACGTGGACGCCCCTGTCTGTGGTGTGAGGTTGCTTTTTTTCAGGCTCGACCCCCCCTCCCACTGTTTCCAGTAAAGAGAAACTTTCATGCTAAATCATTCTTTATGTGACTGTTTTTTACAACTCAGACAGAGCACACGTTCCAAAAGAAAGGTCCAGCAGAGAGATGATTCTGGTTTTCTGTTTGGGATGCAGCTCCTGGCTTTGGGATGATCTTGGAGCTGGAGAAAGTCCCCGCAGCTGGGTTCGAATTTGTTGTGATTCTTGTTATCTTCTAGGGAAACACCAGGTGCAGAGAGAAGGGAAAGAAAGTCAGCAAACTGTTTTGATTGGTTCTTTCAGAATGCCATTTGAAGGTTAAATACTCGCATGCAGCATGTACATGTAACCCACGGTTGGGAAAATGGTGCGGGGCAAAGTCGTTCCACCCCTGATCCGCCATCTGAGGAAGAGACCGAGGCTTAGCGGTGGGGAGAAGCTAGCGATGTCTGACGTCTGAGCCGGCGAGGCGGAACAGCAATGTGTGTGTGTGTGTGCATGCTCGAGTGTGTGTGTGTGTGGACTCCTGTCTGCGTTCTGCAACCCCATAAAGCAGTGCGGATTCACACACGGGGACGCCATTATCACGCCGTGAACGATACAATGTTTAAGGGCCGTAATGTCGGCTAAACTTTGTTAAATGCACTGTTGTGGAACCGCAATCTGTAAGCGGCTAATAAACTTTTTTACTCGGTAAACGTTTTATCTCCTCTTACATGAACATGATTTCTTCCTGAGTCACATCAGCTGGATGTTTGCAAAAGTGGAATTTTTGAATCCCAATCTTTAGTCAGTTAGCTTATCTGTGAACATGATCGTCTCCTGAGTCACTGTCTTTTTTTTACAACTTAGGCCCCCGTCCATTGTTTTCAATGACGAGAGAGTGTTTGCAGCAGAAAGTGGCCATCTGGGGGGAAAAAAAGCCTTTTTTTTTGTGCGGTAGCTCCGAGCGCTCAAGTTGAAAATATTTTCCGAAAGGCGCTGATGACGTCACCAGCGCTCTTTTCCAAATGAATAATATTCCCTGTAGATCGTGTCTTGTACCCACATCCGACAACAAACAATCTCAAATAAAAAACGAGCAGTGAAAAGTAACGGGGCAGTGTTGGCCATAAAGCGGCCGTCGTCAACAGACTGTTGTCATGGAGACAGGACGGACGTGCAGCGTTTTTCTTCTTAGCGCACAAACGTTTGACGCCGGAGCTTTTCTGCCCAGAAAAAAACGCTAGGTGGACACAGGGCCTAAGACAACAACTCCCATGATTCCTTGCTTTAGTATTATTTAAAACCTGTATTTTGATATTAATTTGAAGAAAAGCCCCCGAGCAGTAGATTAAAGAAATATTGAAACTGCTGCTTGACTTGTATATTTCCAAAATGTTCAGCTCACTTGTATGTATATATATATATATATATTTAATGCAGAGTCCACAAATACTGTTTTTAATTAACATAGGATATAAATTTCATGAACTAGCCTTGCCACAGTGTATGAATAATCCACTCTATGAAACAAGCTGAAAATGCAGAACAACAGGTCATGTAAATCATTCAGTAACAGACAATCTGTGGGAGGGAGAGCCAGAGAGGTTTGTTTTTTTTCCCCAGCACATTGGCTAATAGGAGGGAGGAGTGTGAGTGTGTGTTGTGGGAGGAGAAAGGGAGGAGTGTGTAATTGTGTGTGTGTGTGCCTATAAGTGATGGGGGAGGGGACAGAGAGAGAGAGTTGAGTGAGCGAGCGAGCGAGAGAGAGAGAGGATTTGTGGCATGTAGTTAGTCAGCTGTCATTAGACGCAGATGACACACACAGGGAGGTAATCTCGCAGAGAGAAAAGAGAGGAAATACAAAACCGGTGTGTGTGTGTGTGTGTGTGTGTTTGTTTGTTGTGCTGTGTTGACTGTGTGCATGGTGGTGTGAAAAAAAAAAAAAACCAGTGTGTCAACCTCCGCCGGCATGGGATGGTCAGCCGGCTTTGGACTGGTTTTTACCAAAGCAGAGGTGAGTGACCATCAGGCGCTTGTATTCTTTTCCTGGCAGAGTTTGAATGATTTAAACACCTCGCTGAAAAAGCTGACAACTTGGAATACAGCTCTCTCTTTGACTGCTTTAGTAAACTTCTGTCATTGTGTTGAAGTAGCTGTCAGTCCATATGGGAGTGGTATATGAAGGCATGTGTGTTAGATAATCCAGCTACTGTTTTGTTTACTTTTGGCTCGAGCTTACACTTTTCATCACACGCTGTTGTGACATTTGTTCCTTTTTTTTTAATGTCAGCCTCATTATGAAGACAGACAAGAAAACAGGCCTAACATCTCTGTAATCTGTAGAACCATATGGTAAAGTTTTAGACATGTTAATGACTTGATAATTATGTTGACTGATTCATTATAGTGATGGGGTTTGATGCTTTCAGTTGCATGACCGTCTTAGTCAGAGTTGGACTTTGAGCTGTCATGTATTATTGTGGTTTTGAGTTTTTATGTGTTAGTGTGTGTGTGTGTGTGTGTGTGTGTGTGTCAGGGGGGAGTGGTTATGAATGACTGGTCTTGCACACTCCCACACACACACACAAATACACACTGACACACACACGAACAGGCAGAGTGCGCAGTCAGCAGGCCTGTAGCTGCTCTGTCACCTGAGGTCTAACCAGTCAACTGTTTACCCAGTGTGCTTTGCTTCGATAACAACTGTTGTTCAAGCTCATTCAGGAGGAAGCTGGCTCACTATATATATATATATTATTTAAATACAGTTAGACGACACATTTCTCAAGTGAACCGCAAAGTCAGTTGGGGGAAGCAGAGTTTCTGGATGATGAGTTGACACTTCTGAAAAACATGAGACTGTGTAATACCAAATATTTAAATGACATTTCCTAGAGACAGTTCTGGCTCCTTTTAAAAAAACAAACTATTGCAGTCTGAATATGCATTTTCTTGGAGGTGCATGCATGGAGACAGGAACTTTTTTCTCTAAACTTTCAGTTATGTGACGACGTGCATTTGCACCTCGAAGTCTTTCAGCTGTGACTGTATGTAAATGTTCAATGCTCACTCGAGCTGCAATGAAAGCAGATTAGTCAATCAGTAGGTTGAAGTTTGACCTCCAGGCCAGTGGAGCAATGGTAAGCAGTATATCTCAGTGTGTTTTTTACTTTCGTTTTGTGTTTGCCTATGAATTCTTCACTTGATTTATCTCCCCTCGGCAGAGTCGTCATATCAGATCAACGTTGCTATTACATCCAGTTTATAGTGGAATTACAGACTTCTGTGTTATTTATTGGCACAGTGGAAATCCGGTTGCAACACTGCTTCAGAAAACGCGGTTTATTACAACATCACCATGACTCCCGGTGTTGAAAAGGAATAGAAATCTAAAGTCACACTTTCACCCAAAGTACCTGGAACTTTACATTCAATTCAATTTTACTTGATTTGTAACACATTGCATACAAATGTAAACTCAATGTGTTTAACAGAAGACACAAATAAACACACACACACATAGATTCAAAAGCACACATGAAAGCCGAAACACATTTTCTAAAAAGTACCCATACAACACATGCACACATACTGTACACCTGTTCCTACTAATGCACACACACACACATACAAAGATAAACTAGCAGCCAAAAGGCACAATAGCAAAGCGATGTTTTAAGGCAGCCCTTAAAGGAAATTCAAGTTTCTACAGACCTCAGGTCAGCAGACACTTTCACCATGGTGACGAAAAGCACCTTCACCAGATTTAGTTTTGACTGTAGGTAAATTCAGCAATTTCATCTGAGGGATATGATTGGGCTGCAGTCGGTGAGCAGGTCAGAAAGCTATTGTGGTGCCATTCCGTTTAATCCATTTCATTTAGTCCTGAGAACTTTGTTTTCAAGGCTCTTCAGCTGTTTTGTCTCCTCGGTCTGCAGATATGTGAAGATTAGGTTGTAGGGAACCTTTTTTTTTGTTCTTGTAATTTTGCGCCACATAGTTAATAAGTTGCCTTTTCCAGGTCCTGCTGGTATCTGTTCTCAGCATAAACACTCAGCAGAGCCATGACTGTGTTGTTGCTTTATATATATATTTATCTGTCAGAGCACAAAAAAAAAAAAGAGAAGCTTCAAACCAAACTCGAACCAAAGAACTACAAACCTCTCTGGAGAATTTGTGTCCAGATTTGGGCCAATAATGGACGAGTGTAGCTCAACACTTCAGCTGCTATACACAGGTGATGACGAGAGAGCAAGTGTTACTGACAATAAACACCCAAACCCCTCTTTGACCCTCCTCTCTGTACAAGCTGGACGGAAAACTATGCACATTCAACGGTCCAAAGTTTGACAGATGGACTTAGTAAGGAAACTAAACTGTTAACAGTGAAGTAGAAATAAAGAATAGGTCAAACTTAAGCACAATGAGAGTTTTAGACATTGTGCGTCGTCTTTCCTGCACAGTATGAGGTCAGTACTTTTTGTGCTGTTGCTGTATCGGCTCACACGTTACCTCTGCTGTTCCCTTGACTCAGCCCATCACATGAACAGAGGTCTTGTTGGTGATTTAAGTTGTTTGTTATTCTGCTGGTTTGACTTCCTTTCACTGTGTTTAATGTAGCTCAACACGGTTTGAGAGAGTGAGAGCAGGAATGAGTGCTAGTCTATATGCAAATGATTTAAGATGAGTGCATTTGTTTTGTTTTGCTGTCTTTTTGGTGTGTGTGTGTGTGTGTGTGTGTGTGTGTGTGTGTGTGTGTGTGTGTGTGTGTGTGTGTGTGTGTGTGTGTGTGTGTGTGTGTGTGTGTGTGTGTGTGTGTGTGTGTGTGTGTGTGTGTGTGTGTGTGTGTGTGTGTGGTGTGTGTGTGTGTGTGTGTGTGTGTGTGTGTGTGTGTGTGTGTGTGTGTTCTCATTTCAGTCAGCTTCTGAGCCGGCATGTTCGATGTTATTGATTCCTGTCTATAATCGATCGGGCTCTCACATTACATGAAGCTGCACATGCAGGGTAATGAGCTGCTGCTGGCCTCACAGCCTGCTCATAAACCCACTTTTAAACTGTTTCTTTAAAGTCATATAACATGAAAATATTATACATTTTTTGATTCTATAAAATATTGAAGCTCCCGTGCTCAACATGCCTTGGATTCAGCTTTTCTTAAACAGCTGGGTTTTTTTGTGGTTTTTCAATTGATGTGATACCACATCAATCAAACTTTGGCTCATAATGTCATTTAAAAACTAATTAGTCCGTATTTGAGGAGACAAGGAAGGTTGAAGTGGGGGGTGGCGTGCTTGAAGTGGGTCAATGTGCACAGCTTGAATTTTACGGCTCCTCATTTCACAGCACACAGGCGGCCGTTTGCTTTCAATTCCAGCATGTTGGTGTCAGGAGCCTTTGGAAACTTTGACAACAATTCAGGAAAAAAAAAAAAAAAAAAGGACCAGGGTTGCCAGGTGTCTTAAATGGCATCTGTTTTGGTGCCGTAATGACTAGTTTTTAGATTTAGGACATAACATTGGTAGACCAAATAAATAGCCTATTGTCAAAATTATTGATAAAGCTTAAATATTGGGTATCACTTTAAACCATATACCTTCAGATAAATATCACAAACAGACCAATTTAAGGTAGATGTAACGATAATGTCACAACAGTTGTGTGCACATCGTGGTGGCAGGAACACAGCGGAAGCAAGTGGAGAGGAACAAACATTACAACTTTCATAAGATAATTAACAAAGATTAAAGGTCACATATCCTCCTCCTCTTCAACCAGTGTAAATAAGTCTCAGAGCTCCTCAAAACATGTGTGTGAAGTTTCTTGTTCTAAATCCACTCTGATCCTGTATTTGATCATGTCTATAAACCCCTCGATTTCAGCCCTGCTCAGAACAGGCTGTTTCTGTGTCTGTACCTTTAAATATGTAAATGAGCTGTGTCTGACCACGCCCCCTCTGTGGAAGGGCTTGGGTGTCTCAGGCTTTCTCGCTCCATGTCCTATTGTTTACGGTGAGAAGGCAGACTCAGAGGGCAGAACAAACACCTAGCTGTGGGAGTGTCACCCACCTGGGGGAGGGGCTACTGCCCTTTGTGATGTCATGAAGGGAAAATCTCCAAACGGCCTGTTTAAGCACACATTTTCGGAGAAGTGGAGCAGGCAGAAGACGTAGAGGATGGACTTTTCTCATAACTGCGGTGTTTTTACAGACTAGGGAAACATATTCGTGTTAGAAAAACACGGTGAAGTGGATTTTGCATAATATGTGACCTTTCATACTAACGCATCCAGTGCAGTTTGCTGTCAGAATGTAGTTTTCTGACTTGTTTATGATAGCCAATGTCGTGAAGAGCTGCATTATATGTCCTTGCCAGTGGCTCTGCGGTGCGTCGGCACACAAGAAAAATCTGACATGTCTCAGTATTTGATTTCCTGGATATGACCTCAAAGTACAAAACTATTTGAGTCAAGAGATTTCTATATTTTGAGTTTTCCTTTGGGATAGTTGCTAGGTTTCTCCAGTTAGTTGGATCCCTGACCCACTGACCTGACCGTGAGTCCGGCTCAGGAAACCTCCACCTATTGTGAAGGGTTAGCTTGTCACCATAAGACAACTTCTGCTGCCAAGCAAATTAGAACTAATTAGAGAAGGCGTCCGGATGGTGCATAACTTTCTGATGTGAATTGATAGCATGCTACCGCTAGCTAACTTTCTGCCACCAGTTCGATTCAACTCACAAAACACGCCATCACTCTGTACAAACACAAACGTGGTCTGTGGGTTTTTTTTATTTGACCTGAGCTGCAGGGTTAGAGGATTTTACACAGAAGCACTTACACTGTTTAACTTCCAATAATAAAGGAATACACTTAATTTGAAAAACAGCAGCACCCCAAAAAAATGACCAGTGTAACGATACATAACAAACCATAATGTTTTTAATAAAGCAACACAATAGGGTAACAATACTTATTATATTCATATATTTGGCTCCAAATAAAACTAACTGACCA